AGAGACATGCAATTTCAGGGCCATTTCATGAGTGTGTGTTGCCTAGGGTTAGACTCAACAAGTGTTTTCAGAGCATCAATATCAATTCCAACAAGTAGACCCCTGCCATCACAGTTTTTAAGGCTAAAGTCACCTGAATTAAATTTGCTGAACCATCGTTGACACTTAAAAATGTTCAAAATATTTCCATAAACTTCTCTGATGGCTACAGAGGCATTGTTTCTCTTCTTGTATTCAAACACCATTACATGTCGTATCTGTTATAAACCTTAAGTTGTTTAGGGTAAATAATAATAATTTTCCATTATAATATAGAAAAAAAAAACATTCTAGAAAAAAAAAAAGTAAACAATATTAATTTTCTATTTATTGTGGTGGTTTAATGTTTGGTCAAGTTGACTGCATCCCCATAGAATTAGGGAAGAGAAATTAACAGTTAAAATATAGTTTTACTAAAAAACGTGATATTCATTTAGGAGGTTTTGGAGGTTATGCAAATGAAGTTTGAAAACTGTCAGAAAAAAACATATTTTTAATCATAACATGAAAATAACCTTGTATTCACATTAGTCACAGAATGAGTCACACTCTGACTCCATTTATTCACAGAAAACTAATTAAAATAATAAAATCAAAAAGTCTGATTTTTTTGCATATTAAAGATTTGTAATACTTAGTAAAAGTTTTGTGAAGATAAATTTACTATATTAAAGGTTATGATATATATAATTTCATGTTTACCTGGTGGTAGACTGAGCCTGTATAGATAAAATTACTTAGATAATTGAAGTGAACGATCAGAGGCAAACATACCACCACTAGCTTGCTGACTGAGCTACATGACTATTTTTTTTGTCTCCTTCCATTACTCACACATTGCAGCTCTTCACTTTCTTCACTTTTCTACAATTTTTATTGCAATTTCTACAAACTTGTACTAATAGAGAAATATGTTCAGAGTATAATGTTATATAATACGTCATTTGATAGATGAAAACCTTGGCTTTCTATTGGTTATAGATAATATAGAATTAAACATAAGGGAAAACTATTAACAAATCCTGAAATAGAGGACGTAACAGGTGGGTGTGGCAAGAGGGGTCTGATTGTCTATTTCATGGATCTGTAACCTAAAAAGATTGAAGCCTATGAAAAGTATGCTTTGCCTAAGTGATGACGATATTATAACGAGTAATTTAAGTTAAATTTCATATTTCTTGGAGGGAGGTAAATAAATTAGAGAAGAGAGGATACCTAGGGAGCAAATGTCATAATTCTCACATTAGGGAATACTGTAAATGTTTTTTGATATTGCCTTAAAAAAGTAAGAACTTAAACTTTTTAGCTATTAAAATATAGATTATTAGCTAAGTTTAAGCTATATTTATTAATATACCATGAAAAGAACTGGTTTAATTACATTTTGAATGTAACTCACTAAAACCTCATGACATGCACAGATAAAGATGCTCGTGGAGAGAGGGTTAAAGAAGTATCTTTGTACTAAATTCCATGTAAGTTTGTTGAAACAAGGCTCAGGATTTGACCTAAAATCCCTATAATTATAGATGTATTTAACCTTTTGACCCCCCCCCCCAAAAAAACCAATCAAAAACTAGGCATATCCCATATTTTTGTATGTATATGTGTCTGTGTACCAAACCCATGTAAATTTGCCAATATACAGGAGAGTAATTGTATATATATATATATA